AATCTCTGTCTCCTCGACATGTACCAAGTTCCTCTCGATAAGATAATTGAGGTAATCCTCTGCAACTTCTTCAAATGTTCTGCCACTCGTTTGTTGTATGAACCCCTCAGCTATCCATAACCGAATCAACCTTCTACAACTAACACTATAACCCCTTGGAAAAATGCCAAGGTACAAGAAACAATAGGTAAACTGGTAGGACAGATTAATGAAACTAAGAGATAATAGTTCGGTAATACTTGAAAGATGTTCATTACTTGCTAGCTCAAATCCAAGAGTATCATCCAGCTTTCCCCAATCAAACATGGTTTTGCTTTTGTTACTTCGCACTAGTTTACCTATTTGATCAATTGCAATAGAGGTAGTAGAACCAGCTGGGGATTGACTTGAGATGATCTTTGTGTATCTTTTTCTTTTTTCCTTGAGTTCTTTCCGAATATCTTCTATCTGTTTGGCCATGGAATGGAAAGATATCAAGTTCCCAAGAAACCGAGGGAGCTTATGAGAGTGTGGGGTGGCATAAAGCTTGTACTCGTCTAAAACATTTTCGATATCATAAGCTAAAGTCCCAACCTGTTTTATCCATGTCTTCAAACTTCTGTTGCCCTCTTGCTTTGTGTATGCTTCGCTTAACTCTTCTTGAATACTCTTTAATTCATCTTTGAGATTTATGACATGACCGCGAATGCCTCGTATCAGCTCTACTTCTCCCACCACCAAGCGCAAGTTGTCGAGTAGAAAGGCCACTGCACCCAACTCCATGACCTGACCTCTCTCTCTCTCTCTGGTAATTTGTTGTCAAAGAAATGCTTCTAGTCTGCCATTGACGTGAAGGAGGAAGACTCCATTAGGAAGGACATGGGCGAAAGGCAATGCAGCTTACTTGCATATGGAAATTATTGAACTTTGTCAAACAAGAAGATTTTGAATTAGGGACAACCATGAAACATGGATCGGCCGCATCATCTCTCTAAGTGGATGAGATTAACAGGACGTCTAACAAAGTGATGGAATTGTCACTTTTAGTCAACTTCTTCCTCATTGATGACTGCATGGCTTTCATATATGTGGACAAGTGCGGTGTACAGACTACTACTTGAGTTGAGCCTCTTATCAAATGGATGGTGGGATCTGTTATAAATCCATAAATACCAAAAATTAGATACCAAGCTCCACAGAAATGGAATTTGAGAAGAAAATATCCAATATAAAAACAAGTTGTTGTATTCTATTTTATTGTTATTATATTATTTTGACAAAATAATGGCACAAATGCCAAAAATCCCATTTGATACAAATATTAAATAAGAATATATAGGTGATATAAGTATAATTATAATATTTAGTAATAATGCTAAAATCTATAGCTGCATATGATAATGTTTTGGGTAAATTGTAGATTAGGTAACCTGTACTTTGGATTTAGTCTCATTTTAGGGCCTGAACTCTCAAATAAAGTTTCAGAAATATACATTTAAGTCCAACTCAGCTAAGTAAAATTACAAAAATGTCCATATTTTCATTCTCTTTTTTTACTATTCATCTTCTTCCTTCCTTCAAAGGCAAACCAACTGCAGCAAAGTCAATTCACCCCACAGGGCACCTATATACAATTTACCCTTTTTTTTTGGTTGTCGTGTCATGAGCATACTTTTTGGGGGCCAGAATTAAATGAACCTGCCTATCAGCCCCATTTGGCTGGAAGGCTGAAACTTTGGTTGGGGCCAGAATTAAATAACCCCTGTCAGAGATGCTTATTAATTCCCATCCCCGTCCCTGCCCTCCCGATGCAATCCCCATCTCTGGTTGGCTAACTCTATCAGGTCAGGGAGGTCGAATACATGGCGGGAATGAAAAAAATGTCATTCCTAGCTAATTCAGCTAAATTGGTTTAACTGTTTTGAAATAAAAATATACTATTCAAATGGACAATCCTTCAATTGAAACTCATTATACCTACCTGAACGCTACCAACACATGTCCACAAAGACATTACATCCGCACATTAATTGTAGTGTGCCACTGTAGTGACTGTATTCTTTAGTGTTGTGGGTAGTATAGGTAGCATCTTTTGTGGGTTGCAGATCTTGACTGCTTCAAATAGCTGCTGATTGACAGCCAACTGAGCTCTCTGGATTTTCCACCAAATATATGTTATAGGCTGTTCATTTGGAGCCCATCTCAGAAAGTCGGAATATGTTATAGGCTGTTCAAATAGCTGCTGCATGCGCTTCCGCCCTCCCAAAAAAGCACTTAGAATATGATCAAAATCATCAAGTTTGTAGGTTTGCTACCAAATTTTGATAATAATGGAGAGAAGATTTATATAAAAGCTATTAAGAATAGATGGAGAACAAGAGTAGTACAACTTACATGGTTAGAAGCCATCTAATCATGCTGACCTCTTTTACACTAGACTCCAATGATAAACTTGTAGGGATCCGAAATCATTTTAATTAAACCTAATAAATTAGAAAAAAATAGTAATCTCTAAACATGGAGATTCCTGATTTAGCTCAACATGCGGATAACAGATTCAAAAGAAAAAGAAAGATACAAATACCTGTAGCTGCAGGAAATTGTTGAATTTGAAAGCTTGTACTCTGATTCAAACTATTCAATATGGAAGTCTAGAATGATGAATTTGCTCTGTTGTTATGACTATGAAGACACCATATTAGGTGATGAAGGCAAGCCAGAGGGTATGTTTGGTAAAGACTGGGAAAAACTAAATAGAAAGGCAATTGGAAAGATCAAGTAATGGGTGGATAATACTATGTATCAGCATGTTGCCAATGAGACTAACGCCCATAAGGTGTGGACTATTCTGTAGGAGTTATATGAGAAAAGAAATTATCAGAATAAAGTTTTTCTTTTCAAGAAGWTTATGTGTTTGAGATATCAGGATGGAACTTCTGTTTCTGAGCACTTGAATGTCTTTCAAGGTATATTGAACCAGTTGRCTGCYATGGARGTAAAGTTAGATGAAGAGATTCATGCTATGTGTTTGATTAGCTCTTTGCCTGACAGTTGGGATACTCTTGTGGTTTCTCTTGTAAACTCTTCTCCAAATGGTGTACCCACTTTGAAAGTGGTGAAGGAGAGCATGCTAAATGAGGAGAATAGAAGAAAATACCGAGGGTTAACAATGCAGAGTCAAACTCTGGTTACTAAAAGGCAAGGGAGAAGCAAAAATAGAACTCCAAAGAATCGTGATAGCAATGACAGGTCTCAAGGAAGATCCAAGTCAAGGAAAGAGAATAAGTGTTATCACTGTGGCAGGCCAAGACACAAGAAGTTCCAATGCAGAATACTTAAGAGGGAACAAAGCAAAGAAAAGGGCAAAGAAAAGAAAGTAGAAGCCAATACTGTAGCAGCTGCAGTTAGTGATGATGTTTGTATTATATGCGATGGTGGCAGTGTCAATCTCACATGTCAGGATTCACACTAGGTTATTGACTCCGGTGCTTCATATCATGTCACTTCTCGTCATGATGTTTTCTCTTCATATTCTAGTGGTCAGTTTGGTCATGTGAAGATGGGGAATGATGGAAAGTGCAGAATTGTCGGTATAGGAGATGTATGTCTGAACACAAATACTGCTTGCAAATTGCTCTTGAAGAATGTGAGGCATGTTCCTAATATTCGCCTTAATTTGATTTCCACTGGGATGCTTGATGATGATGGCTATCATAACTACTTTGGTGAAGGAAAATGGAAGCTCACTAAAGGGTCTTTGGTGGTACCTCTACTTCGAAGTCCGTTGGGAACTTCATAGCCAAGTAATAAGTGGACACCACTGCACGAAGAGCGTGGGTGATTGGTCGACCTATTATGGCATTGTACGGGGAGGGAGTCGTGACCACTAGAAAAGTTTGGTCGAATCTCACAATGCTAGGCCAAGTGCCGACCTCCACAGGTACTGTAACTCTTCCCAGGGGCCTGACTTCCTCTCCACTGAAACCTACCAAGGGAGTGTTCGCGGGTTGGATGTCGCTCTCCTTAAGCTGGAGTTTGTTGAATGCGTCCTTGAAGAGTATATCCGCCGAACTGCCGAAGTCGACCAGGACGCGCTTCACCTCGAAGTCATTGATCCTTATCTTTATGATGAGCGCATCGTCATGGGGGTATTGGACTCCGCGCGCGTCGTCTTCGGTGAAGAAGATCGGTTCTTCTAACCTTGGTCGTTTTGAAGGATTCTGCTCTTCTCTTTGAATTTCTCAAGCTGATGTCTTTGCCGCAGCTGAGGTGCAGCCCACGACAATTGACCCGCTAGTGATCATCTGTATTATTCCTCAAACTGGCCTTTCTTCGAGCAACTGTCTCTGTGGCTGCTCGTTTTTCCTGTTGCTGGATTCGGGAGCGTTTCTACCTTGCTCTCATTGTCGACCTATTTGGTTTTTATTATCACTTTGTACAAAATTTTTCAAATATCCGTGACGGATGAGCTCTTCTATCTCGTCGCGGAGGTTTTTACAATTTTCGGTGCTATGACCGTGATCTCTATGGAAATGGCAATATACATTTCTATTTCTGGTATTCGGGTCTCCTCTCATCTGAGGTGGTCACTTCACATAAGTTGCGTCATTGACCACCATAAGGATTTCTGCTCGCTTCGCGTTCAAGGGCGTATAATTTGTCCTTTCAGCTAGTGGAGCACAGAAAGACTAGTATGGCTTTCCTCCTCGAGCTAGCTCTTCCCTTTTCCTCTTGTTGTCCCCATTAGTTGAGGTCTCACCTTCTCTTTTCCTCTTCTCGGATGGATTCTCGCTCTTCTGGTTCAACTCCTCCTCTATTCCAATGAACTGGTCCACGAGCTTGAGGAATTCAATTACATCTTTAGGCTTGTTGGCAACCACATGCCACTTTAATTCTTTGTGTGTGATGCCTCTTTTAACTGCTATGAGCCTCACTACGGGGTCTAGGTTAGGTATCTGCAGGCATGCATCATTGAACCTCTTGATGTAGCTGTGGATAGATTCCCCCTCCCTCTGGACTATGCCGAGAAGGCTTTCTTGGGACCTCAGACACCTCTTGCTGGTGCTGAAGTGTGAGGTGAAAATCTGTACGAACTGCGCCCAACTCTTGGTTGTCCCGGGCGCGAGATTTCTATACCATGTGCGGGCTACCCCCTTAAAAGTAGTGGAGAAAGCTACACACATGCAGGACTCATCCTACCCCGGCTAAGTGCATTTGTGACTGAAAGGAATTTACATGGTCATTCGGATCGAATGACCCATCATACTTGTCTAGGGGAGGTAACTTAAAGTCTTTTGGCATCGGGACGGCCAGGAGTTCAGGAGATAGGGGAGATGGCACGGAGAGGTCTTCACAGTTCCCGAGCTCACCTCTTCTTTCCCCTTGGGTAGTTCGGGCAAGTTCTGAGCTGCAGCTCGGCGAGCTATCCGGCATCGCCTTTGTTGCTTCTTCATCGGCTCCGCATTGGTGCTACTGGCCTCAGTGTTGTCAGGCACAGTCTTTGCAGGGAGCGGCTCGGACTGCTGGCGACAATGGCTGTGGATGGAGGGACCTTGTTTGGAGCCCGCGGCTAGGACCCTGAACCGGTTTTCCGTGAGTGGAACCTCGAGCTGTGAAGGTCGAGGTGATGCGGGTCTAGTAGGCTGAGAATCTCCCGACCTGATTACATGCTGCGAGGTGGGAGGAGTAACTTGTCTCTCCCCCCTGCCGCGGGATGAGACCTGACTCCTAAGAGGATTTTGAATTTGGGAGGTCTCCTCGGCGAGGGGGGCGTTCACTCCGACGGTGGGGCTTAGCTTGCTGTGTGGCATAATGCCGAGGTGAAACTGGCTGTTGGTTCTGAGGTAGCGGTGGAAACTGTTGTTGCTATTGCTATTGATAAACATGGTGCAATACTTGTTGCTGATACAATTGGAACTATTGGACCTGCTGCATTTGAGCTTGTATAGCTCGCATGCAGTGTACCAGATCTTCAAGTTGGTTATGTCCGGCCACCGGGGGAACAGACGATTTGGCAAAGGTTGCACCTACCGTGGAGGGGAGTAGAGTAGTCACTGGTGCCATGATCTGGGGCACGTTCAGAGTAGGGACCCCATCCGCAGAGAGAGGTATGGTGAACTGAATACTGTTGGGATCTGAGGTTGCCCCCATAGGTGTTCATATCAGTGCTGCGTCCGGCGTTGCTAGAGGAAGCCATAGAAACTTGACTAAAAATGCTTGGTGGAAAGAGGCTTTTCGAAGCGCTTCCCAGAGACGACGCCAATTGATGCGTCGTAATCCGGTTGCTCCTAGCTGGCAATGAGGTGGCTTCCGGTTGACGGCGAAGGCGGATGATCTGCACAGAAAATCAGAGAACCCGGGGGTATTTACTCGGTGAGGTCGCTCCGATGCTTAAGTCAGTACTTAGCGAGCTGATAGAAATTTAGAATGTGAAGGCTAGAAGGCAGAGATTATGCGTACCTTGGGCCCTCAAAGGGAGGGCCTTTATATAATGGAGTCCTCGCGGGCTTTGCGGAGTAGTTCCGAAATTATCGTCATGATAAAGTTCGTTTCCGCATTAATTGGGGATAAATGTTATCCACTAATGTCAATCACTTTCACCCGATTCGGGCTGGGAGGTAATGCTAGATATCACGAGGTGTGATCCCACAAAATCCGGGAACCGTAACTTTTAGAACTCCTAGGTGGGTAGATCGATATACCCGAGCTGGTTTTACCCAAACTAATATTCCCGAGCTGATGCTCATACCTCGCAGAATCAAGTACCGGTGTCGTGACCTGGTACCGAAGTACCCCTAGCTCGGGGTAGTTTTAACTCCAGGGAGCCTTAGCTCGGGGTAATAAAGAGTCACTCTGTAGCGAACTGGTAACTTTGTAGCAAGCTGGTCACGCTGAGTTGTCTCTTATGTCGAGTCATGTCCACATGTCCCCTTATCATGAGGTCAGGCCAAATCACCCTCCATCAAGTAGCCAAACAAAAAAAGACCATTTTTAGTCTATTAAACTTTTAAAAACCTAAAAGATCTTTTAAAAAGACTTGTCAAACAGGGCCTTGGTCTATTTGGTATTGCCTTCTCAAATTTCAGTAGGTGTAAGATTAAGTTTCACACATCTATTGAGAAGCCAATGATGCGTTTCTAATTATTTAAGTTAGGGTTGAGATTAGATTGAAGAGATTTCTAGATGATTTTAGTGTTCTCCCTCCACAAGTATAAAGGCTTTTACGACTTACGAGCAAATGGTATAGGCCTTTCACTTTTTAAGAATTCATTAATTGTTGGGGATCCAGGCTGCTTTTGTGTATGTTTTGCATACACAATCATCTGTGGCTTTTGGCGAGGGATTAGGCTTTTTATACCCCTCCCCCAGGCCTCTTTTTTCTCTCACACTTTGATAAAATTTTTGGTGGCTGCCCCTCCATTGGTAGTAAAGTTTGGAATTCAGAATTACTCCTCACAGGGTGCTCCTCACATCGACGTCATAGCATTTGCACTCGCGCACATCATCAACATCTTCCGTAATTGTATGTTGTCATTAATAGGGAATACCAATGTTTTAAAAACTGACCTAAAGAACGAATCGTTTATGACTCTGGGTCGTGGGTCATCAGTTCGACCGGCTGGGTTGAATGGTTCAGTCCGTGCTACACCGGTGCATATATGTATTAATATAAATATATATTTTAGTAATAAATATATAAATATGATTTAGATATGTTATATGTATTATTTTATATTTAATTTATGTTTTTTTATTTTTTATTTATAAAAATATTAGAAATTGCAATTTGAGGTCAAAAAAGGATTTTTTTCACGAAAATAGTAGGGTAAGGTGCCTTGGGACGCATAGATCTCAAGAAGTTACCCAAAATAAAAAAAAAAAAATCACCCCAATTAGACATTAGAGTGCAAATTTATGGCCTTCGAAAATTTACATGCATTGAATGTACAACCCACGACTTGATCATCGGGTCAAATGGATCAACTGCCAAACCGGCCAAATTGAACGATTTTTGACTAAATCAACAGTTTTTAACCGTCTAGCAGGTATTAGCAGGTATTGACTGAATTGACTTAAAATCGTAACTGGGTGATGTTTCAAAAGGTTCGACCCACCAAATCTACAGCGGATTGAAAACATTGTGGAATACACAGCTACAATGTACTATGGATTTGGTATGAGGAACAAATCTGGATTCTAAAATTTGGGGTTAAGAAAAAGAAGGAACAGAAAATAGTAAATAGGATTGTTTTGTACTTAATTTAGACCTTACTGCTAATAAAGTAGGGACTAGAGAGTAAACATGTAACTAAATTAAAAGTTAGAAAAAAAAGGGACCAAGTTAACATGCATCGTCCTAGTTGTGAATTGTGTCCCACATTAGAAAAGAAGTTTTATTAATAAAATTATGCTAATGCAATTATTTCAGCACCTAAGAATGAAAAAAATATATATATTAAAAAATACAAAGTATAGTAAATGATTTTATACAACTCCTCTTGGACACTCTTCTGCAGGAGCTGAAGTTCTTGGAATTCTGTAAGGCCTTAAATTAGCCCAATACTTGTCGGTTTCTTCAATAATCCTTGAAAGTGATGCGAGGTTAGTCACTCATCTCATCAAGTCCAATCGGGATTCTCCTTTGGCACCTTCACACTGTTATCTCTTATTTCGTCTCTGTAATAGAGTATTCCATAGTCCATAATATGCTGCTAAGTATAACCGTTTCATGACCTGGTCTGGTCTGATACTCTCGTATTCCTTAGGTCATCGATTTCCATCGATCTCCAATTGGATGTAATTTTTTTTCTGGTGATTAATGGATTTTGGCCTTGCCTTCGGCCGAAAAAAAAAATCCTGGATAGGGCTATAAATGGATCGGATTCGGCAACAGCCAAATCGGATCCAATTAATGAAAACTGAAATCCGAATTTAATCCAAAATTTGTTCACATGTAAAGATCTGAGATCAGATTCAAATCCTATCATATTCAGATTTAATTAAACTCCACTTCATTTTTTAATATAAAATAATTTAAAAAGTTAATTGCTGTTTAACTTTTATAATATTTTTATATTTTATAAATTAAAGTTAATATCTATATTATATAATCAGATTTGGATTTTAATCTACTGAGATGGAATTAAATCTACATCCAATCCAGTTATTAATCGGATGCAGATTGCAAAATTTGAATCCGACCTTACAATGTAAACAAATAATCCAAGTCTCGGGATAATTGAATCCAATGTTAGACTATCAAAGTCCGTTGATTAGGGGTGGCCACGAGCCAAACTCTTCATGAGCTATTCAAGCTATAAGAGCCGAGCTCAAATATATATATATACATATATATATATATAATAAAAATATTATAATTCTTAATTATTATAATTATTTATTTTTTAAATATCAAAAAAAAAATTTATATATAGTCTTTTATTTTTATAAAATATTTTTTCTCAAATCAAGCTCAAGCCTAACCAAGCTCAAACTCAATGTTCTACCTCGAGCTCGAGCTCGAGCCTCGTACGATTCAGTTCGGCTTGGCTTGAATCCACCCCTACCGTTGATAGTATTCTTCATAATTTTGGATGGCAGGAGCCATGAAAATCTTTGGATGGTGGGATCCATGAAAATTTGGAAATCATCTTTGAACATATAATTAACAATACTGAATTATTAATTTGCTTTTATCAAATTACATACCCTCTTTGGACTCCAAAGACCATGGACATATCCACTAAAACCAGTACATCAAAGCATAAAAGGCAAATAGTAAGTAGAACAGAATCAGCCATATCAAAGCATTGCCTTGCTCCTCCCAAAATGATCATATACAAGATTAGGATTGAGACACTGAGTTGAGAATAATTATGGATGAAGATGCTCGCTGTAATTTCTTCTCTGCTAGGACCCTACAAGACAAAACCAATTAGGATCCTTGAATAACCTAGAACATGCAATTATGTGTTCAACCATATGGTCCCTTCTCATGAAACACTGCAGATGAGAACTCAATCATATCAATATATATTCAATAATGAATATGTGAAATGTGGGTGATTCATTAGTTGACCATATGGCAGGAAAAAAAATTCTAGTAAGGAGAAAAATAAAATGAATAACTAGAATAGAAACAAAAAGAAAGTGTGTTTAATGCTCACCAGTACTTCTGCAAAGATATAGATAGTAGCTGTGCAGGAGGAATTATATTAAAAGAGGAATCATGAAAGATCTGTCAAACAACCATGAGAGTAAGAACGAATTTTTGGGATGTGATTGACCATCCAACGGCATTCACCTCCGTTCTTTCGAATACCCTTTATGAATGTATCATCCATATCCTGCAATTCAAGTTCCTTCAGTTGGGTAAGGTTGTCAATTCCTCTAGGCACTGCTCTTAGCATTGGACAGCATCTTATAACTAGTTTCTGAAGGTTGGGCAATGTGCCTTTGTACAGTATCACCGTACGCAGTTGACACAGTTGTTCAAATTCCAGTATCTTAAGTTTCTTAAATTTCTTTTGCATGAAGTCCAACTTATCTCCACAGTAAGCATCAAGCAACTGAAGCTCCATTAGGCTAGGCAAATCTTGAAGGGCTTCAATGGGATTATCCTTTAACTTTGACCACTTCAGGCGTATCCTGACCAGGTTGTGAAGTTCTGAAATCCATCTGGGCATGCTTTGAAGGTGCCCCTTCAGATATAAACGTTGAAGATGGATAGGGGGATTAGACATAGTCTGTAGATGAAGACGTTCCTCCATTCTTTGTGATGATATGCTTAAACTATGAAGGCTCT